CATACCTTTTTAATGTCAAAATGGTTGTTTAATGTATTACCCTTTCATTTCATTAGACTATTTCCAATCATTCACCAAAATTTTCATCTAATTTGATTTCAAATTTGAGTAAAAAACTTGATTTGATATGAGTTACTCCAATTCTTTCATCAAATTTTTATCAAAATCTTTTAAAAATTTACTTTCTTGTCCTCAATTTCACTTTTCATTAATTTTGGTGCAAAAAACCCAGCTACAATCCTTAATCTTTTAACAATTTTATCAAACTTGAGTGGAAAAAGATATGTTAGAAATCTAGTGAAAAATTTTGTTCATCATTGATTTGACAAAAAAGTTGCTTCTCATTTGATATAACACAAGTTTGATGAAATGATTGAACGTTTTCTTTTTTTACCAAAATTTTTATCAAATTTAAATTTGATGAAGGACCTAGTAAAAAATTAGAGATGCCCTTAGTATAATTGGTATGGAAAAGTAAGGGCCCCTCTTTTTATTTTATTTTATTTTTTTACCATCAAGGAGGGTATATCCTCCACTTAAAACATAGATGGTTACTGAATTTCTTAAGCAATTCATTAATCCAAAGAGCTGACAGGTACCTGAACTCAGAATTAGGGTGCAACTGAGGCAAGTTTAGTTGAGTTGAGAGGTTATTAAGTCGCAATCCGAACAGTTATTTCAAACGCAACTTGTAAACAAGACTAGTTTGTGAATGAACTCGGGCTAGGCTTGAATTATCCATAAATTTGAGTTTTTTTTTTTTTTGCAACTAAATTGATTAATTTGTATGATGAAAGAGAGACATAGAGGAGAGATGAGAATCGAGAAACCACTGTGATAAACTTTGCCAATTCTAAATGAAAAATGAAAGCATACAATTTTGTATTACATTACTTATAGTATATGATATATAATAAATATGATCTAATTGTCCAGTGATTTTAACATTATTTAATAACTAATAATTTATATATATTTAATATTTAAATATATAGTAGAACCTTAGGTTGTTCTGATTGTTTGATATTTCCATCCAAGTCTGGCGTGGATTTAATTAGAGTCTAAATTTATGTTGAAACCTACACCAAATTCAAAAATATATTGCCCCAAATCAAAAAATTTCAAACTAGATTTGAGATGAGCCCGCTCAAATTGCATTGGCACTCACAACCGAGTTTCAATTCATGCCAACCTTCGAGTTGCAGTAGTAGAGGAGTTTGTTCACTCTTCCAACCTCTCTCGGTACACTTCACTATTTTGTATCTTTAATTTCATGTTTTTAATGAAATTTTTCTTTGTCAATCAAAAAAATAATGTACTCAATATGTTCTTCTTAAGACTCAGAAAAAAAAAAAAAAAATAGTTGTGCATTATTAAATGTTCTTAATGAAATACAGTTCAACATATACTAAGCCAATAATATGAACACCGTTGTTCTTTTCTAACAAGTGGAAAATAATTAGGTGTTATTGAAAAGATACTTTAAACTAATTACTTATCACTAATGTTAAAAATATAGAATGGATCATAGAAAGTATATTGACAAGTTTAAATTTGTTTTCAATGTGTACCCTATCTCAGCTATCCACTATATTTTTGGTGATCCATTATGTATTCCTAAACGTTACAATTTTAACCAACAATTATCAAGTTAAAAGACTACATAGACTTTATTTTATTTTCTTTTTAAAACTAAATGATATAAGCTTGAGAAATTCGTAGAAAATTTTATCCAATAACATAGGCCTAGGTTTTAATACAATTTCCCTTATGCCTAATATCAGAAGATTTTCATCCCCTTATATTTAGAAGGTCTTTTGCGCCCAATAAGTAAGGTTAACGGGTCGTCATATATATTTTGAGTTTGTGCTCTTAAAATCCAAAAGGCCTTACCTAAGATTAATTCTCAATTTAAAAAAAAAAAGTTTGCATGTGGGATCTGTTTTATGTTTTGTCACATCAAGTTTTAATCTAAAAGTTAAAAAGTCATTAAAAAAAGTCAATAAATCAACAAATTATACAAAAGTGTTAAGATTATCTTTTCTCTCTACTTGTTGCATATTTTTTCCTAAAAACCTAAAAAATATCCTAAACATATTAATTTTTTTACATTATATTTTAATCAAAAATTTAAAAAACTACTAAAACAATCTATTCCTAAATGAGGCTAATTTCTTGTGTCTATGGTATAGAAAAATGTAGGGAGGAAAAATCACATATACATCCAAAAAAAGGGGTAATGTTATATAAAAATTTCATGCAGAATGATGTGTCTTACTTTTATCTAGAAGGCAAATTTTTTTTTTTAATCAGCAAAAGAAAGACTTTTATTGATATCAAAATGATACACATGCGAAAAAAATCAATAAACGAAGAGCAAAAAGTATTAAAGTGATCTTTCTAACCTCTTAGGTTAGCACACACAATCATATGCTAACTCACGCAAAGAGAGTTAGTGAGGAATCAACACAGAATAGAAAACAAAAACCAACAAACAGAAAAAAAAAAAAACAAAAAATCCAACTCTGCAATAGTCACACTACATGTAGCTTCTAACTTGTTGAATGTTGTAGACAAAATCACCCACGGCATATCCTTGCCCTATTGAGTATGTTTTCATCTGAAAGGCTACTCTTTAATTAGTTCACAGAGATTTTCACAGTTTGACTACAGCTCATTGAACAAATAGTCATTCTTACATTTTCAAAGGAACCATAAACTAGTAATAAAAATTGATCTCCAAAGTAGCTTTTTCCCTTTTCTAAAATTCCAACCCATCCACGAATACATTACATTAGCATCTCCACTGAAATCCACCATTTGATTATGGTGGATCAAACTTTAAGGCCAAATATGCATCACTATAATTTATAATTACTACAATACTATTTCCACATCATTGTAATATAAAATTATAAAAAATAGAAAAAAGCAGCAAATTACATCGGTGATTTCTATGTTTTATCTTTTGTGTCATTTTGATTTCTACACTTTTAATTGACACACCGTTGTTCTTTTCTAACAAGTGGAAAATAATTAGGTGTTATTGAAAAGATACTTTAAACTAATTACTTATCACTAATGTTAAAAATACAGAATGGATCATAGAAAGTATATTGACAAGTTTAAATTTGTTTTCAATGTGTACCCTATCTCAGCTATCCACTATATTTTTGGTGATCCATTATGTATTCCTAAACGTTACAATTTTAACCAACAATTATCAAGTTAAAAGACTACATAGACTTTATTTTATTTTCTTTTTAAAACTAAATGATATAAGCTTGAGAAATTCGTAGAAAATTTTATCCAATAACATAGGCCTAGGTTTTAATACAATTTCCCTTATGCCTAATATCAGAAGATTTTCATCCCCTTATATTTAGAAGGTCTTCTGCGCCCAATAAGTAAGGTTAACGGGTCGTCATATATATTTTGAGTTTGTGCTCTTAAAATCCAAAAGGCCTTACCTAAGATTAATTCTCATTTAAAAAAAAAAGTTTGCATGTGGGATCTGTTTTATGTTTGGTCACATGAAGTTTTAATCTAAAAGTTAAAAAATTATTAAAAAAAGTCAATAAATCAACAAACTATACAAAAATGTTAGGATTATCTTTTCTTTCTACTTGTTACATATTTTTTCTTAAAAACCAAAAAAATATCCCAAACATATTAATTTTTTTACATTATATTTTAGTCAAAAAATTAAAAAATTACTAAAATAGTTTATTCCTAAATGAGGCTAATTTCTTGTGTCTATGGTATAGAAAATGTAGGGAGGAAAAATCACATATACATCCAAAAAAGGGGGTAATGTTATATAAAAATTTCATGCAGAATGATGTGTCTTACTTTTATCTAGAAGGCAATTTTTTTTTTTTTGATCGGCAAAAGAAAAACTTTTATTGATATCAAAATGATACACATACGAAAAAAATCAATAAATGAAGAGCAAAAAGTATTAAAGTGAACTTTCTAATCTCTTAGGTTAGCACACAATCATGTGTTAACTCACGCAAAGAGAGTCGGTGAGTAATCAACACAGAATAGAAAACAAAAACCAACAAACAGAAAAAAAAAAAAACAAAAAATCCAACTCTGCAATAGTCACACTACATGTAGCTTCTAACTTGTTGAATGTTGTAGACAAAATCACCCACGGCATATCCTTGCCCTATTGAGTATGTTTTCATCTGAAAGGCTACTCTTTAATTAGTTCACAGAGATTTTCACAGTTTGACTACAGCTCATTGAACAAATAGTCATTCTTACATTTTCAAAGGAACCATAAACTAGTAATAAAAATTGATCTCCAAAGTAGCTTTTTCCCTTTTCTAAAATTCCAACCCATCCACGAATACATTACATTAGCATCTCCACTGAACTCCACCATTTGATTATGGTGGATCAAACTTTAAGGCCAAATATGCATCACTATAATTTATAATTACTACAATACTATTTCCACATCATTGTAATATAGAATTATAAAAAATAGAAAAAAGCAGCAAATTACATCGGTGATTTCTATGTTTTATCTTTTGTGTCATTTTGATTTCTACACTTTTAATTGGCTTAATTTTAACCGTTAATTTTAGATTTTGTTTCAATTTGATATCATTAGTGTTTTTTAAGGGAAATTATGACTAAACTTGTTAAGGTTAACTAACTGAGTTGAATAAGTTTATAATTTTGCTCTTAAAAATATGGCACGTGACATGCGTATATTTTTTTTATAAAAAAAAAGTTATAATCAATTGAACCAAATTAAGACAAAATCATAAATTCAGGATCAAAATTGAACTAATTTAAAGTACAGAGACTAAAATGATACAAAAAGTAAAGTATAGGAATTGTAATTTGTTAAAAAAAAAAAAAAAAAACCTAGAAATGGTTAAAAAATGAAATACATGTGTTGTGTAAATTCAAACTTATTCTGATATACTTTTTCGAGTTAGACTTCGTAATATTATTACTGCAGCCATGAAAAACAGCCACAAAACAAGTACAATACAACATACAAACATACATATACTAAATCCATTGATTTGAGGATACATATGGCATCCGTGAAAACGCATATACATTATGCACATCATCACATATATACGAATCTTAGGTGATAGTTTTGGACAAAGGAACAACAGTGAGCTTTGGCATTTTTTTACCATTAATTTTGCTCATTGATCGTCCCCTTCTTTCCCCTCCCCCCAACTCCACAGATACTTATGCTCAGACTGCAGCTACTTTGTATCAAAATAGTAACACTCCTCTGCCCTTACACCTTCCCAACTTCAAGCCAAAGTGCATCACACTGTCCCCACCTAAACATGTACAACATATATATGGAGAGAAAGAGAGGAGAGAGAGTGCAAATGTAGATGCAGGTGATAGAGTGGAGTAGGACTTCCAGTAATTGATATATAAAATATATATATATATATATATATATAGAGAGAGAGAGAGAGAGAGAGAGAGAGAGTACTTCATCACTGGAGAAATAAGTGAGATACAAATGTAATTAAGGGAGAAGCATTTAAGAGAAAAACCTTCACAATTCTATGGAACTTGAGTGACCAAGCAAAGCATTGATGCTCATTGGAAAAGTACCCATAACTAGCAACATTTAGGTTTTTTTTTTTCAATCCCCATATACGTTGGTTGCACTTGCCTTGGTATGAAACAATTGCATTCACCTATTAATTCAAATCACCATACCCCAAAATACCAACACATAGATATAAATATATATAGCAATCATTCATGTCTAGGGATCCCAGCTTGTAGCAAGATTAGGGTTCATAACAAATTGGCTGCATGGCAACGGCGATAAGGATGATGATGGTGATGAGGATGAGGATGAGGATGACAATGATGATGATGGCAGTGATGACATAATCGCATTGATGTACTCCATTTGATTGGTTGTCACATTTGGATCGCGTGAATTAGGAACCCCGGATGGAAAACACGAAAGACTTGTAATCTGGTCAACTTTGTGTGATGCAGATGAAGATGGCATGGCACAGTTGATCATGTCATAGACTTTTGGCATAATAGGCATCACCATTGGATCATCATATGATGGTGGAATTGTTGTCATTTTCGGGTTGATGAACATGCAATCCTCTTCTTTGAGTACATTTTGGTGATCAATGTGTGGAGTTTGATAGTTTAAAGGCCATGATGAGGAGTCATATGAAGGTAGGTCTAGAAGAATTGGGATTGAATTTGGAGGTTGGAGAGGGACCAAATTGGGATCAAAATTGATCTGATCTAGTACTTTCATTTCATGCCCATGATCAAAGCCTTGTAGGACTGAGTTTTGGGTGGGAATGTATAAATGGTCTTGTGGAGATGGGATCAAATTAGGGTTTGCATTATTTACTGAGAAAAAACCATCAAAAGGGCCAGTTGGGTTGGGGTTTGGGGGCAGATTAGGATAGGTGGCTAGGTATTGATGAGAGATCAGCTTCTTCTTTATGCTTGAATTCCAAAAGTTCTTCACTTCATTGTCTGTTCTTCCGGGCAGATGCTTAGCTATCTGAGCCCATCTGCACACAACACATGTCATGTCCTTTTGCATGAAAATATCCTCAAAAAATAAAAAAATTTCAAGAATTACAATTAATTTAAATTTAAATAACCATATCAGGATATGTATCAATATCATTGATACGGTCATATATCACCTCATATCAAATATATCTATGATATTAGTATAGAAACTTCAAAAATAGAATACGATCCATATCGGCCGATACTTAAAATCCTTGTTTTGTTTGATTTTCTTTTTGTTTTTTTGTGGGTTGGGAAGATGAATTACCTGTTGCCTAGAATGCTATGGAGCTCAATGATGAGAGCAGCTTCTTGAGGAGAGAAGCTCCCACGTTTTAAGTCAGGTCTGAGGTAATTTATCCATCTTAATCTGCAGCTCTTCCCACATCTCTGCAGACCTGCACCACAAAATTACCCCAAAAATATATACACATACATATTTATATATATATACACTTACTTTAACACAAATTTTCTTTTATAGATATATCAATATGTTTTAACAAAAACATAGATAAGAGTTTGAGAGTTTAGAACTTGTGCAAATGATCATCACCCACCAAGAAGTGAAATCAGAGTAATAGATCTCTCTCTTTCTCTCTCTGAGAAAAAGAAAGAAAAGAAAAGAAGAGAAAAGAAAAAGAGTTAAGCAGACCTGCAAGTCTTGGGACTGAGCTCCAGCATCCATGGCCATAAGTAGATATGTAGTTGATGAGTTTCTCATCTTCCTCTGGTGACCATAGTCCCCTCTTGACCTTTTGTTTGTTGCAGCATGTATGATGTGCCATCTCTAGAGGAGAGATCTCTCCTCTCGCTCTGTCTCCCTCTCTCTCTAGCAGAAAGTTTGCATCCAATGGAAGATGAAGATCAGTATTGGCATCTATGTATATAATAGAGAGAGAGAGAGAGAGAGAGAGAGAGGGGGGGGGGGGGGGGTTTGAAAAAGAAAAGAGGAAGGAGGAGGACTGGGATGGATGATATCAAATGAGAGTACACTGAGGTTATGAATTTAATGAGAAGAGCTGTACCAAAGAGAGAGGAGGGACCCAATTAGGGTTTGTGGTTTAATGCTGCAATATCCCCCTGAAGGATCTGTATGTATCAGTTTTTATTTATTTATAATTTATTTTTTTTATAAAAAGATTCTCTCAATGAGTTAATTTAGGGATCGGATGATCAGAACACGTGTCACTCATGCAAATGCAAAGCGATGGGTTCCACTAATTTGTCATGCCCCACATAGGACATATTGTCAAAAAAAAAAAAGAAGAAAAAATTGAGTAATTTACAAACAAAGTTCTATACGAAAAAATAGATATTAGAATACCGTGTTGATGATAATTTTAAAATTATTAAAATAATAAGAAAAATTAATGTTTGGGATAAATTTAGAAAAAAAAAAGAAGTTACCCATCAATGCTAAATTTTATAAATATTAATAATTAAAATTTTAAATTTTTTGGTGTACTTGTAAATAATTTTTCAAGAGACCATGACTTATTATTCTCTCAAAATAATATGGGCATTTTGATTGAAAATGTAAGTATCAAAATCATTCTATATAAAAATTTCGTATAAAATTTTAGAGAGTATTTGGTCAAAATTTTCTCATAATAAAATTTTTATACATTAAAGATAAGCACAAATATTTTTTTAAAAAAATTTCAGCATATACCACTATTATCAAAATATATTTAATGAGTAATTTAATATTTTAAATTTTAAAATAATATAACTTTTAATCTAAACGTTAATTTTTAATAAAATTAGTATTTTTACAATCCTCTCAACAAGATCTATTAAACAAGATCAATGTTGACTATGAAATTCTTAAAAAATATATATAAAAAAAATATCATCGAAATTGATGTAAACATTAATATATTACTTTATTTGACAGTAACATATTACTGTAAATCATGATAAGCAACCTCAGTTGCAGCATAAGCAAAAGGTATTTCAGAAGGATGAGAAAGTTTGCTTCCAACTTCAATATGGATCTCCTTAGAGCAAAGCAAAGAACTTAGAGTTGCAATAGAAATTGAATCAGATCTGGCTTGAATGGTAGTTTTAAAAGCATTATACTCAGCCGGCAATCCATTTAAGATTAATAGATCTATATCCTCATCATCAACAGGTGCACATGCTAGAACTAGTTGATTAGCTATGGCTTTGAACTCATTCAGATATGCATCCATGCTTAATCCTTTCTTAGTGAGACGATTCACCTTGTTCTTGAGTTGATGAATATGAAATCTAGAAAGAGAAGTGAAATGGGATTGAAGAATATTCCATACCTCATAGCTTGTCTTGCAATGAAAAACAGAGGTAAAAATGGCAGGAGACATAGTAGCTGTAATACAGCTAAGAAGATGAACATCGATATTCATCCATTGAACATACTCAAGATTAGAAACTTCTTTGTTGCTTGCATCGATAAGAGTAGATGATGGACAATCCTTAGATCCATCGATAAATCCGATTAATTGGTTGCTCGCAATATATTCTGCAACTGATTTTTCCAGACGATGTAGTTAGTTGAATCTAACTTTACTGTGACAAAGGAACTAAGATTTGATATAAGTAGTGCGAGATTGGAAGGAATTGATTGAGACACAGAAACAGATGAATCTGCCATAAGAGAAGCTTTAAGGAGCTTCGAAGAGGAAAGAACAATACTCGTTGGAGCTAGGGCTCTCATACCATAAAGAAAATTCAAGAAATGAAGAAGAGTCAAGAACAGATATTTGTTTATTCACCAACCATCACAATCAATTACACATCTATCAAGATCATATACAGTATTTGTAATAAACTGATACACTCTACCTAACTATAGTTACAATTGACTATGGTTCTAACAACTTTACAACTGCTACAGTTAATACTAACTAGTCTAACTAATGCTGACTAATTTAACTGACTTTAGATGAGTTGAAGTTGGTTTGGTCATGCTGGTGCAACTGCTTCGGCAGCATTGGAGTCTTGGTCATGCTGGTGCAACTGCTTTGACAGCAGTTGCACCAGCATGACCAAGACTCCAATGCTGCCGAAGCAGTTGCACCAGCATGACCAAGACTCTAATGCTGCAACTACCAAATCTTTTTCTAATAAAGGTAGTTCTAATGGTTCTACTAGAGGCTACATAGGTAATTTCTCTAACCGAGGTGGAGGTCGATATTTCAGAGGTTCCAGCTCCCGTTAAGGAGGATGACAAAATTTTCAGTCTCCAAATTTTTCACAGTCTCAGTCCAGTGCATCTTTTTAGAATTCTCCACCACCTTCACATAATTTTCAGCACAATACTAGTTCTACAGTTGTTTGTCAGATTTGTGGCAAGTATAATCATACAGCCTTAGAGTGTTGGCATCGCATGGATCATAGTTTTCACACATCAACCTCTAGTACACCTAAAGCAACATATGTGGCTTCTGCTTCTCAACCTCAATTTCAGTCCTCATCTGCTCCTCCTACTTGGTATGTTGATTCTGCTGCAACCAGTCATACTACCAATGACTTGAATCAGCTTTTTGATTATCAGCCTTATCAAGGCACTGATCAAGTCACAATAGGCGACGGTTCTTCTCTTCCTATACATCACGTTGGTAATGGTTTGCTTCCCACTCCTTCTTTTCCACTTAAACTCCAAAAAGTTCTTCATGTTCCTCATATTTCTTCTAATCTGTTATCTGTTCATAGACTAGCATCTGATAATAACTGTTCTGTTATCTTTGATGCTGATAAGTTTGTTGTTCAGGACAAGGATACCAAGAGCATTCTGTATAAAGGCCTTAATTCTCAGCGTCTTTATCACGCTCCTCAATCAGTTTCCATGTTCTCTTCATTTTCTCCACAGGCTTGCTTCAAGAGCACAAATTCTACCACTGCTGTTTTTTCAACTACTGCTTCTGCTCCAAATTGGCATCTCAGACTTGGACATCCTTCATCCACCAAGCTTCATCACATCATTAACACTTTTCATTTGCCTTCTCACACTTTCGCTAGTTTATGTCCTCATTGTTGTGTCTCTAAGACACATAGGCTTCTTTTTAGTTTGTCCAATTCAACTGTTAATAAAACTTTAGCTCTCATTCATTCAGATATTTGGGGCCTATTTTCTGCCTCTGTATCAGGCTACAAGTATTATGTTGTTTTCATTGATGATTTCAGCAAATTTTCTTGGTTGTTTCCTCTTCATTACAAGAGTGAGATGTTTTATAACTTTCTTGAATTCAAAGCTTTAGTTGAAACTCAATTTTCTACATCTCTTAAAATTCTTCGCAGTGACAATGGTGGTGAATACTTATCTACTGAATTTCAGAATTTTTCTTAAACACAAAGGTATCCAACATCACCTTACTTGCCCTCACACTCCTTCTCAAAATGGAGTGGCAGAGCAAAAACACAGACATCTAATTGAAACAACTATTGCTCTAATGCATCATGCCTCTTTGCCTTTAAATCTTTGGTTTGAGGCACTAGCTACAGCTATCTTGCTTATTAATAGATTACCTACTGCTAAGCTTCACAATCTTACTCCTTTTGAAATGCTGTTTAATAAACCTCCAGATTATTCTTTTCTAAGAATTTTTGGATGCAGGTGTTACCCTTGGTTAAGGCCCTACACTAACCACAAGCTTCAACTTAAGTCCATTCCATGTGTTTTCATTGGTTATCATCTGTCAGTGAAAGGGTATCGCTGTCTTGATCCCCTCTACAGGTCATATCTATCTTTCTAGGCATGTTGTGTTTGATGCAACTTGTTTTTCTTTTTCATCTTGTTCTTCTTCTTTCCTAGTTCCATCAGTTACTCAGTTGCATTTCTTTTTCTGGCCCTCCACTTCTTCTTCTATTTCTTCTTCTTTTAGCTCTCCTTCTTCTGCTTCTCTTTCCTTATCTGTACCTCCAATTGTTCCTCTTCCTATTCCTATTTCTGCTGATCAACCTATTTCTTCTACTGATCTCCCTCTGTCTATTCCTAGTTCTACGATTCCTTCATCCTCTTGTCCTATTCCTATATCTTCAATTTCTATTGATTTATCTCTCTCTGCTCTAGTTTCTACTCATATTTCTCCTCATCTCAACTCCAACACTCATTCTATGGGCACTAGGTCCAAATCTACTTATCTTTCTCTTGTTGCTCATATGGCTCATGTTCCTACTGAACTTTCTTCCTATAAAGAAGCCTCTCAATCTTCAGATTGAACTCAGGCTATGCATGAAGAATTTCATGTTCTTCAGCTCCAACACACTTGGTCCTTAGTTGACCTTCCTCCCAACAAGAATGTCATTGGGTGCAAGTGGGTTTATCGATTGAAAAAGAACTCTGATGGTTCCATTGCTTGTTATAAAGCCCAGTTAATGGCTAAGGGTTATCTCAAGGAGGTGGGTATTGACTATCACGAAACCTTTAGTCCTGTTGCAAAGCAGCCTACTATTCGCATTTTATTGTGTCTTGTCCTTCATTTTGGTTGGTCTATCAAACAATTGAATGTATCTAATGCTTTCTTGCATGGTGTACTTCATGAGGAGGTTTACATGACTCAACTTTCAGGTTTTATTGATTCTTCTCATCCTCATAAGGTGTGTAAACTGCATAATATGGGCTTAAGCAAGCTCCTCGGGCATGGTTGTCTACATTCTCCACTTTCCTCTTGTCTCAAGGTTTCCTTGCTAGTCATTGTGACTCTTCTTTGTTTATTAAGAAGACTGCATCTGCCATTACCATTCTACTTATATATGTTGATGATATTTTGCTAACTGGGAGTGATGTTTCTTATATTACCTCGTTGCTTGCTCAAATGCATAAAGTTTTTTCCATGAAAGAGTTGGGTTTTCTCAATTATTTCTTGGGCATCTCTGTTCACACTTCTGCTGCTGGTTTCTTTTTGCACCAATCTAAGTATGCCACTGAGATATTAGCCAAAGTTGGGATGTCCAACTATAAGCCCTATGCCTCTCCCATGGCTACTAAATCCTTCGGCTTCTCCAACTCTGATCTTCCTTTTGCTCAGCCTGCTTTGCATCGTAGTATTGTTGGGGC